AAAAAAAAAAACAAAAGTAGCCTAAGCGTTCTTCCAGACTATCCTCTACATCTATAATAATTTCATCGAAATCCGTTCAGACGTTTAGGCTACAAACTCTAACAAACATCCATCCATCCATCTAAACTTTCGCATTTATAATATCAGTATGAAGCATAATTTATTTACTTATATCAAGACACGTTTAAATCAGAACGAAGAAAAAGCTGTATTCAAGCAATCGCCTGTCCATTTAGTATAGATCATTGGATACAATGTAAATGTATTTTTAATTCAATTGTGTTAAATAAAGAACAAATAAGCTTTATCTATGGCATCTATATTAAAGTGTTAACAATACAATAGTCTGACCTTGTATTGTCCGTCAATAAAATTACAAACCGTGAAAACCTAATCTTATTTATGGTTGTAATACATTTAGCATTGTCTTATTGGATTTTTATGTCCTTCTGTAAGAATTGTTTGCGAATATGTAGATGCGATCTCTGAGTCTATCACGAATTTTCGTATGACAGTAACGAGAACGTATTCGTTATCGTATCATTTGCATGAGATTTGTTGGTGTAATTTACGCCCGGTAGCGTATAGTGACGATTTTACTAATAATAATAACTAGCTTTTACCTGCGACTACGTCCGCGTGGTATTTAACAAAATTTAGTAACCTATGCGTTCATCCATATGCCAAATTTCATCCTGATCCGTCCAGCAGTTTAGGCTACAAACTCTAACAAACATCTATATGTAAACTTTTGCATTTATAATATTAGTAAGAAGTAAGATTAGATAGATTAACCCTGTTATGTGGTTTTTATTTAAACTTATAAGCAACTTGATTCTTAAGTCAGATATGATTTTTTTTAGCTTAATTATTCAGTAATTTAAAAATAGGAGAATTTTGTAACACTACATGCTTATAACTAACAAGAGATGTATTTATTACGATTTAAATTCATCAAACAAACGATTTTATCTTTACAATTGGTTTTCTCTTTATCAGAAGCCTCCACAGCCGCCTGTGACGTCACCACCACACAGACCGCAGCCTTATTTACCTCCCGTAAGCACAACTAGACCCTTCCCTAAACCGCTGCCAACACCCAAACCGCATGGGGTAAGTTAATCTATACTATTATAATAAAGCGTAAACACACACTTCTTTGTTGCCTAAGATGTAGCAATTACCGCATATATTTGAATTATTTTTTTTAATAAAAAAGCCTACACTTACGTCACGCTATATGTTTTCACGCCATTAAACTTAGGGTTCAAATGTTTTGAATAAATCCCTAAGGTGGGAAAGAGGCCATAAGTTGCTGCCAACATCAAGGAAGCAAGGTTGCCATGGTTTGTCATGTCATGTCATTTTTAAATATGCAATTGATAATTTGACACATGTAAACAATAAAATAAAATTATCATAATTTTATGCGGATGAAGTTACATAGGAACAGCTAGTTTCTTTCACAAGACAAGAGCCCGGGTGGCTCAGGGGTTTGAACTCTTGACTTGTGATCCACAGGTCCTGGGTTCGAATCCCGCTGTTACTAAACTTTTTTTTCGATTTTTCAAATTTCATACCGCTTTATATTTTCAGTCTCTGAAATCTGTGAATTTCCACTTCAGGAAAAATTGCTTTGTTCTTTATGAGACAAACTACGCCTCTTTGGGTGCAAACGAAAGGCATATAACAATATAAGGACTTTGTTTTGTACAGATACGTTTGTAACTTGTATTGATTATTGTTCCGCGTCTCGTTTTAAACTCTTCAAACGATTGTAGTTTTTAAATTGGAACACCGAAAGTTACCCCGATGGTACATAATTTAATTTACGTTCTTACGGTGAAGGAAAACATCGTTGTGCAAATATAGGCGAAGATATTTAAAGATATGTGTGAAGTCAACCCTTAGTGCAGTTTGACTATAGCCTAAGTTACCCCTAACTTAGGGAAGGCTACCTCTCAGTGAAGACGTATAGTGAGGTGATGATGTACATAGTGGTACAAGCAGGGAAAACAATTACTTTGTACATAACTTTTACCTACCTTTTACTTATATTAAAGAGAAAATATGTAAATAAAAGACAGGGATATTATGTAAATTAATGTAATTTAATAAAATCATATTTAGAGCGAGACGCACATCTTTGATTAAACTATCGCACAACGTTGTGCGATTTTTTCGCAGCCAATTCAACTGTTTTGTTGCACAACTACAATTCGGGTTGTGTGCGCTCGATATAAGCTCATAGAAATCGAACTAGACTAAATAATTGTGCAAAAGTTCAGTCAAATCTGTGCGAACGCTCTTTTTATTCAAGCGTCATCTATGTAATGGTCCGGGCCGCTGCCGGTAGGTGGCGGTTTGTACATTTTGGGTCCGCCATCTGAAAGTAAATGGTAGAATTCGTTTGAGATATCAGATTATTTTTGATAAATACGTACTTATTTCAATTCCAAAGCATTCTTGCTTTCTGTGCTAACAGTTTCCGTAAAACCAATAGTTAATGGCGTAAGTAGATTTTGCCTAAGATTTCGTCTGCACGGAATTAAAAAAAAAATAATTTAGTTTGTTAGTAGTCTATGTTCTTCCAGAGATTCGTTAAGTGGTTTTGAAGCTTTATAGTAACATCCATACATCCAAACTTTCGCATTTATAATATTACTATTTTACTTTCGTTTGCTGAATCCACGTCTTCTGCGGTCAATTTGTTAGCTTCTGGCTTGTCATCTAAAAACATATTAAAAATCTATACTATTATAATAAAGCGTAAACGCACACTTCTTTGTTGCCTAAGATGTCAGCAATTATAGTATATTTATGAATAATTCTTTATTTAATAAAAAGCCCTTCACTTTCGTCACGCCTAAGGCTATATATTTTCACTTTATTAAACTTAGGGGTAAATAATTTGTATAAAAACCCTAATGTGAGAAAGAGACCGTAAGTTGCTGCCAACATCAAGGAAGCAAGGCTGTCAAGGTTTGTCATGCCATGTTATTTTGACATTTGCTATTGATAATTTGACAAATGTAAACAATAAAATATTTCCCCACGGGAACAGCTAGTTAAAAATAAAATTACAATTGCGTACAAAAAAATGTCTTAAACAATGATTTACTAACCTTCCTCACTATCTGTAGGATAAAAAGATCAATAAGTTAAAATATTAAAATTTGTTACTTTTAAAAGTACACAAGTACATTAATGTAATCCCACAAAAAATGTAAAATGTAAAAAACTGCTTAGTCTCGCTTTCCATACAAAAATGTGTTAGATGTCATGTAAAACCTAGTCATTTTAGTTAGTGTTTATTATGAAACTTGGCAATTACAGGGCGCCATCATTTTGCTCACCAAATTTATTTTGAACACCACTTGCTCTTTATTCCATTTCTAGCTAATCCTAAGCATAGCTATCGAGAATAACATATTTTAGTTTGAAAATCAATCGATCAGATTGTTACTTACTTGGGATATAATTTGGATCCGCTGTAAAAAATATCAAATTCACTAAACATTGTTTTTTACAGATTATATAATTCATTGAAAAATAAAAAAAAGTAATTCGCATTTTAAACTGTTTATCAGTATTTACATCATTGTTTATTGTAAATAATAAAAATTCAAATTACTTGTTATTGGCTGAGTAGTTGTGCATTTTGTCACAAGATGGCGCTCTGGCTTCTTGTTAAGAGGATAACGCGCTAAAATGATTGTCACATTTTATTGGTTATATTTTTATCTAAATATATACTATTATAATAAAGCTTAAACACACACTTCTTTGTTGCCTAAGATGTCAGTTATTACAGCATATTTTTGAATATTTCTTTTTTTTAATAAAAAGCCCTACACTTACGTCACGCTTTAGGCTATATGTTTTAACGATATTAAACTTAGGGAGTAAATATTTTGGATGAAAGCCCTAATGTGGGAAAGAGACCATAAGTTGCTGCCAACATTAAGGAAGCAAGGTTGTCATCGTGTCATGTCAATTTGACATTTGTAATTGATAATTTCACAAATGTAAACAAATTTATAATTTCATGCGAGTGAAGCCGCACGGGAACGGCTAGTAATTTATAATTATCATAATTTAATGAAGAAAAACTTCTAATAATTGAAAATTTTCTTACATCGCTTCATGTCACTGTTTTCTACACCTGTAAAATTATTAATATTTTAAAACGTTTTACAACTGTTAAAAAAAACAATTTAGTTACATCATTCTAGATATATGTAGAATAACTTACTTGATAACCGTTCACCGTACTCTTAAAAAAACAGACTTAAATAAACTTGAGTAGAAATTTAAAAAGTATAGAAATTAATAAACCAAAACTCTTCAGTGACAAACTTACCTACGTCATTCATTTTCCATCTATTTGCTGTTAAATAAATATTTACATTTTAAGAGTTATTTAGAAATGCATAGATTACCCGCCGTAAATCTCCTTCGAAATATATCGTGGGCCTTTAAGGGCTCAATGGCCACACTTTACCCTTTCATTTACCCTTAAGGCCAAAGACATAAGGCCCTTCACATAAGCTACAAGGGCTTGCTATTAATCCAAACCAAACGAGTCCATACAACAATTTGATCGAGTATTTTCAAAAATCATTTTAGACGAGAGTATTTTAGTACGACTAAATTACTAGACTAATATGAACTAAGCAGTAAATTGCGCAGTTTTCAAATATCTTGAACGCTTTTAAGGTAGGGCCAGTTCGTAATTTAAAATTGTTTTCACATTTTTTTTTGATGATTGAAACGAAATTTTAATGTAACGCAGCGCGCTGATGACTTTAGATAAGATATTTGAAAAGAACTATAACCTAGTTTATTTATTATAATTACTATGACGTGTATATTTCTTTTACTTACACATTAAAACTTGCATTTCGTTGGCACCACAAAGATATATAAATGCCACGATGACCTAGAAAATAAATTGAAATTATTTGCCCCTTTCTTATTATTAAAGTGTGATGATCTTCTTACTAATATTATAAATGGGAATGTTTAGATGGATGAATGTTTGTTAGAGCTTGTAGCCTACACTCGATGAATTTTAGCTTAGATGCATAGGGACAGTCTGGAAGAACAAATACGCCACTTTTTTATTTAATTTCTCGCTGACGTAGTCATTGTCAAAAGTTACAGTTAAATAGAAATTTTTGATAAAAAAAAAACTTTTTTTTCATGTTCGAATCAAACTATAGTTCAAAATTAGCAAGCTGTAATAAATAATGAATTTATGATTCTTAGACAATTTATAGATATTTTACAATTACCAGTCGCATCTCGTATTAAAATATAACACCAAATAACATCAAAGCAGTTCGAACTATCGACATTTCGTTCGTAAATATAATCGTTAACTTTTGTACATTTACGATACAATTCCAATAGATTTTTATTGATCTAAGTGTTGTAAAAACACTATAAAAGGCTGGTATGTTGATGTTTTAAAAACTATAATAAAATTCAATCTAAAACTTAATCTCTACTATGAAGTAATTCTTGGGGATTCTATAGTCGGTTTTTATTTCATATACCATGACTATGGTACTGCTATATGGTACTTGAGACTTCAATGTGTGCAAAAACGTTAAACCGACTATAGCTTTTAAGATAGAACATTGTAGTCGGGGAAAATAAGGGGGTTCCACTTTAAAAGCTACAATAATTTGAACAGTTTGAAACGAGACGCGGAACAAAAATCACAACACAGCTTATAAATGTGTCTGTACGAAAAAAAGTCGGTAATACACGGCTAGATTCTTTTTTTATTATCATTTGTATAAGGTATAAGGTGGCAAACGAGCAAGCGGCCATCTGAATCCACCGAAATGGAAAGCGACCGCTGCCTATCTGCAATTGCTACATCTGCAACTGCAGATGCGTTGCCAACCCTTAATTGATGGAGGAGGAGACGCGGATAAGGACATTTCCCCTTCAAATCCAGTTTTCCTTCCCATCCTTTCCTCTTAAGAAAAGAGTGGAAAGGGAAAGGGACTAAAATCTATCGTTTGCACTCACTGCTATCTAGTTAGTACCTTGTAAAGCGGCGTTTGTCTTGTTCATTGCGGTATTATTATTCTTGGTCATTGTAGATATCCACGGTGTTTCACTAAAGTGGATATCTACAAATGTACGTCACGAGGATATGTTAATAAATTATTTGCCTCATAAAATGTACTTATCCTTCCTTCAGCAGCCAGACCATCCCCACGAGCATCATGATCATCACGACCACCACGATCACCATGACCACCACGACCACCACCACCACGAGCCCGGTATGCCGTTCGACTTCGCATACGCAGTGAACGAGGACGGTAATGACTACAAGCATAACGCGGTGTCTGATGGTGATGTGACGCGGGGCGAGTACAGAGTAGCGCTGCCTGATGGTAGAGTGCAGATTGTGAAGTACACAGCTGACTGGAAGAACGGCTTCAACGCTGATGTAAGTTAAAACACTTCTGATTACTCTGTTTTAGCTAATTCGAGTTGTTTTAGGCAGAAGAATATCTCTTACCTCTAGCTAGAGTTACCTGATAGTAATAAAAAAGTATAAAATTCGCATATGTTTTTGTAACCTCTGAGATTTTAATTTTTCGAGATCAAATTATCGTCTAACTAAGGGTGGACCGAAGGCTACGAGTTCTAGATAATATAAATGATAAAACAAGCTATCAATTTATTTTTTTCTTTTTCTCTTCCAGGTTTCATACGAAGGAGAGGCCAGGTATCCTGAACCAAATACCAATTCGATCAGTGCGCCAAACCAAGGCCAGGCATACTTACCTGCCAACCAAGGAGGTGGTTACAAATATTAAAAATAAAATAAAAAAAAGCAGGAAAAAAGTGATCATATATTTGGTTTTGACAAATAAGGTTACTCTTAATAATGTTGTTATTGTGAAAAACTTAATATAAAAGCAAATTTGTATTTTTTTAAATTAGATGATGGCAACATTTAAATTAAGTTACCAATAAAGTTACCATAATTTAAAATATACGTGCAATTGTTTATTATCAAATGAAAGTTTATTCTAATATTTCTCTATTTCTAATACATTTTGTGTAATAAAATATTTATCATGAGATTTAAAATAGTGTAGGTATAGTTAGGTTGTCTTTTTTTTGTTTAAAATATTATGTACAACGAAAATCCATATTTATTTGCAAAACATATTCTTATTGCATAGTTAATTACAACTATTAAATGAAAAGGAATAAAAGGAAAGAATAAATCTATAAACAAACACATTTTTAATAGATTTGAGTAAATATTTTAATTAAGTAAAAATGATTTTTACACTCCTGTGTTTCTATTTTCTTGATCTTGTTAAAAATTTATTGATTTATATTTAAAATACTCATTTTACCACACATTTCTATAGTTTATTGTGAACCGTGTGAAATAATGTCCTTTTGTACCTTATTTTGTAATAAAATTATTTTACTTTTAAATGTTTCGTTTTATTTCCTTTTGAGATTATAAGAAAAGTTCTCGAGACCGAAATAATAACAAATATTGATATATGGTTTACATTGTAAGGGAATAAATAACAATATCTATTTTTGAGAGTATTTAATTTCATAAGTGTGGGTTACATTGCCAAAAAATCTGAAATAAAATGTTTATTTGCACATTTTAGTTTGGTAATACAACTGTGTTGTAAAATTTATGGTTAGATACATTTATGTCAAAGTTACTATCAATTTTGAAATGGTCAGCATGAGAATTTTTTACATGTCTATTCAATTCATTTCTCAAACTGTACTTTTTGTCACAGAATGTACAAGCTTCAGTTTTTTCCATATGACTTCTTTTAACATGATGACTCCTTCTTCCGGATGTAACGAATTTTTTCTTACAAATATTACACTCATATGGTTTTATATTATTATGGAGTCGTTGATGGTTAATCAATGTTTGCTTATACAAAAAATTTTCACCGCAAACATCGCATGTTTTATTTTTAATCTGTGAATGGATTTTGACATGTTCTGTCAGATGACTTTTTTTATAAAAACCTTTGTCACAAGTTTCACAAACATAAGGCCTGATATGCAAATGCATTTTATTTATATGAGCTTCTAAAGTATTTTTGTTTAAAGATTGATATTTACAATTAAGGCAGTTATAGTATACTTTGTTACGCACCCTTTTAATATTCATTTTATGTCTTTTTATATGGATTCTGTAATATGAATGGCTTTTTAATGTTTTGAAGCAATAAGGACATTCTATTTCTTTATGGCAATTACTATGAGCTCTCAATGAGGTTGGTGTTTTGAATGTTTGTCCGCAAACATCACAAACTGTAGCATTGCTATTGTTATTATGAAAACAATTTTTATGGTCTTTTAATAATTCATTTGAGTTAAACTTTATATCACATTTAGTACAATTAAAAGACTTTTTACGCCTCTTTGTTGGTTTTTTCTCTTCTATTATTTTATGTTCAGGTTCATTTATGTTTAAGAATATTTCATTCTTATTTTCTGTGTCTATCTTTTTAACTTTGCTGTCAAGATTTTTGATGATATTTTCGAGTATTTTTATATTATTGTTGTACTTACGCAACTTAAGGAACATTTTTAATAACAGATTTGTGCATTCTTCACAACCTTGGTCAAATATAAACTCCTAAAAAATTAATCAACATAATGAATTATTTTACCTAAAAAAAGTTAGCTTTTGTACCGTGGTCTTATCTCAATACTTACATGTGAAGGGAATAGTTGTTTCATTATTTCCGTTAAAGATATTTTTAAATTGAAGCAATCATCAGAAATATCTAATTCAGAATGAATACTTAAAAGACCTTTGCTTTGTCTTTTTAAACAAAGGAAACAAACATAATTGCTATTAGAATATAATATAGTATGTAAAATTTTAGTTGCATCTACCATGTTGTAGTTCATGTTTAAAAATTAATAAAATCACAAGAAAACAATAATATGTCGTAAAATTAATGACAGTGACATCTGAGTCTGACAACCAATGATGCCATAGGAAATCCGATGCAACAGTTGTGTTTTTTCTAAGTGGTAGATTACGGTAGGATTTTTTTGCAAAAACATATGTCTATTTTCAAATCTAAGCTAATACTTTAAACAATTTAATTTTACGGTCCTTAAGATTGGCAATTCAGAGATCTCATTCGGGTTTCTTTTAAATCATGTCATATCATATAAATATTAAAAATGCGAAAGTCACGATGCATGAATGTATGTTTGTAAGCGCTTGTAGCCTAAACGGTTGAACGGATCTCCATGAAATTTGGCACAGGTTTAGACAATAATCTGGAAGAACCACATAGGCTACTTTTTATCCCGGGAGTAGTTACGGTTTCCGTGGGGTTCATTAATTTCGTTTTTTAATGTTTACTCGATCATTCTGCAACGGTTCAACATATCTTAGTGAAATTTGGTACAGATATAAAACAAAGTCTGGAGTACACATGGGATAAGGTTCATTCCCGAGAAATCTCCGGTTCCCAAAGGAAACGTAGCTTTTTGTTATTTATATAATTCGTATGTTCGTTCGTTCTTATACCACGCGGACGATGTCAGGGGCAACAGCTTGTTATTAAAACCTAATGCAATCAGTGTACTGCAAATTACTCACGTTCATTTAATTAGATTACTAGTGCGTGGGATTAAGGTTGAATAAAATGAACAAGTTAGTGTTAAGCATTATATTTCAAATTAAAAAATAAAACTAACTATCTACTTAACTTCATTAACTATAATTACATTGCATATCTCTAATATTTAACGTATTCATAATTATCTAAGCACTCGTAATATAAACTATATTAAAAATTAAATTTATGTAAATACAACATACAAAAATAACTCCTGAAAGACTTCGTAAAGGAATAAAGAGAATTTTACACAAGTAGTTAGAAAGCCAAGCCTAAAATTAAATAAGGGTATTTGTAAACCTTAATAAATAAAATAAATTTCATTTCATTTATTGCAAATCTTCGTCTACCCTCAAATATTAAAATGATAAACTACCCCAAACAATATTGCTTCAAGTTTAAGGCCTCATTAACTTAGTTTTTCTTGCTTTAGCAAGGTTTTTAATGCCAAAGTTATTAAAATTAATTTTAATAAGTAGCGTCCACTTTCATCTGTACTAATAAAATAGACAAGTTGTTGCTCTCGACTCCGTCCACGTGAAATTGAAAAATACTAAAAAAGCAAAAGTATATATGTAACTCAATGATAACAGAGCTTTTCAATTATGATTTTTTGAAATCGTTCCAGTAGTTTTTGAGTTATTTCAATGAAAAAATACAAAAATTTATAAGTTAACATAGAAAAGATTTGTATTTTCGTATCTATTAGATTAACGTAAAAACTACTGGGCTGATTTTTAAATTCGTCCACAATTAGAAAGGTTATCTGGGAGTAACATAGGCTGTGTTTTTACAATACTTTTTTACGTGGACGAAGTCGCGAGCAACAACTAGTAATATATGTAATATACATAATTTTTATTAAAAATATGTCAATACTATAATCAACATTTTGTTAGACTACAGAAAAATCTTATACATGCATATTTAATTTACGAAATATAACATTTCATATAGTTACATTTAAACATAGTTACTGCATTATTTACTTACATATATCTATTGCAATTTTCATAAGCAAGAAATACCAGAAGATATGTACTACATAAATGAGGTCAACATTTTGAACAACTTCAAGAAACCATACTATAATATACATACATGCAATTTAAAATATTTTTAACTAAAACTTAGAGTGTACACCTTTGACTAAACTATCGCACAACTGTTTAGTCTCGCTTTGATTCCTGAGCTTATATGAAGTACAGGACTCGAATTTTAGTTGTGCAACTAAACAGTTCACAATAGTTGTGCGATTGTCGATTGTTTCCCTCTCTTAATGTAATAACAAATAAGCTATTTTATTTATTATGCTTTGGATTGAGCTGTACACAGTCCAACATAAAATAAAAAAATTATCGCTTCCAACGAGTATAACACCAAACAGTAATGATCTCTCATTTCATACAAACCGGATGTGGTATTAGATCCTATAAACTGGTTAGTACTTTTTGATTTTAACTTGCTTTTTATCTTCAACACTATTCGCACTTTAGCACCATATTAAATACACTTACATAGCATTATGTGCCACATTAACATGGGCTTTAAGGTCCAATTTTCTATTAAACACTGATTTGCAAAGTCTGCAACAATATTTACCACCATGCAATTTCTTCATATGCTTTTGTTGTCCCGTTTCCGAATAAAAAGATTCTCTACATATTTGACAATGATGAGGCTTTATACCAATATGTTTCCTGACATGAGAGACTAAATCTCTTCTGCATTTAAATATTTTGCTACAAAATTCGCATGTCTCTTTAGTTCGGTAACTATGTAATTTCTTGTGACTGCTCAGATTATGTTCAGTATAAAATTGTTTCTCGCACATATCGCAATTGTACGGTTTTATCTGTAAATGCGACTTATTCACATGTAGTGAAAGTTCATTTTCGCTTGAGAATTCTCTTTCACAGAAACTGCAAGTTTTTGACCTTGAAAACTTGCGTCCGTTGAATTTGTACGCATGTCTTTGGAAATGAATGTCAAAAGTGTTCTGAGATTTGAATAATTTGTCACATAACGGACATTCTTTCTTTATATGTGTTTTCTTATGTAATAAAAACGACTTTTTATTAGCGAAACCTCGTCCACATGTATCACAAACACTATAATCTTTTTGTATATCTACGTGAACCATTTTCACATGTTCAAATAGATGAAATTTAGATTTAACAGATTCATAGCAAATGTTGCAACTAATTTTCATATTAATATGCTTCAAAATATGATTCTTGAGGAAATAATCAGAGATGAAATGTTTACTACAGAATGGACATGTGAAATTCTGTCTGCGGAATTTCCTTTTAGGTTTGGGTTTCTTTTTAAATGTTAGAAATTCACTACAAATGTCATTTAATGGAGATTCATCTACATTTGAATAATTAAAATCGTCATTATCTTTTTCTATGTCACTTGATTTTGGAGAATTTTCTAAATCGCTCATTGCTGATTGTTCTATTTCACTTGTTATAGATTTTTCATCACTAGTTGGCGAAAGAACTTCAATATCCTGATATCCATTAACAACCTTATTATCATCATCTACAATTCCTTTATCCTTTTCAGTATTAACTGGATATAGCATTTTCTTCAAATCATCAAATAACACTGTCCCGATTTCTTCGTCATCAGTATTCTCTGATTTTGACCTTTCTTCAGAACTTTCTGTATCTATTCTAAATTCATCTTCCAATATTTCTATTTTCAATTGCGATTCCTCATCTTCGTCGTTAAATTTCTTATCTGTTATGGGAAGGATTGTTTCCATAGCAATTTCTACCATTACATTATTCTCTGGCTCGTCTATTCTATTTAAGCTGTCTAACATATGACTAACACATACATTTAATCTATTTCTAATATATCTAATCTTATTTATAAATATATATGAAGTTAATGCATGATTAAAGCATTTTTCGCATATTTTTGTCCCAGTGTAGTTATGAACTGTATTCATCTGCAACAAAAATGAAAACTCTCTTTTAAATAAATATATAAAAAGCGATAAAAGCGCTTACACTAAAAGCACATTGATTTATATATTTACAACCATTTTGTAATTCATAACAAAAAAACTAGTTCAAGTAAGCAATTTTAGATCAAAGAAAATTAATTTTTTCTTTACATCTTGATCTTTTCCCCTACGTTTTAAAAATAAACAATAACTTGTCTTTTTGTTTTTTCCCTTGGGTGTGTTTTAAAGACGTTATTAAACTTTTGAAGCTTACTTAGTATTTTTATTAAATAACGATTTACTTAAATGGGAAAAAGTATTATTTTTTAACTATTTAGTAAATAAATAAAACAACAGAATGTGTTTTATTCTTTATTTAAGTGAATCCAATCATTAAATTATACAATCACGAAATTAAATGTTTTACACGAAAACTAAAGAAAAAAACCTTAATACTAAAAATTACTTTCCTTATATTTAACTATTAATGACACCTAAAACCACTACCTACTTATATAGTATTTTTTTCTAGTGAATGAATAAAAATGAAATACAATCAAAGCTTGGATACGTCAAATGTCATATAACTAATATCATATAAGTCCTACAAAGCATTATATGTTTTAAGTTCAAGTAATTAAATTACAATACTAGATTATATTTATGAGAGAATTACAATATTGGAAAAGCGGGTATAATTAATGAATTCTTATACTAAAGTCTGGCTTAAGCCAAAAGTGAATCAACTTTTTTATAATAATTGTTTTAAGCACTAACACTAATGAATAAAATAATTTGCAAATTCTTTGCTTAATGATAAATGATCAAAGTCATAAAACATTCTTACAATACAAGAGAAAAGTTACTGGAAAAAAAGTAAACAATGAAAATACTTCTAATCTTGCTCTATGACCATGACGAACTCCGAGCACATGGCCGCGTCCGCACACCGTCGGTTCTCAAATAGAATTGACAGTTTTACAAGATGGCCGCTCTACCGGTGCTCGGAGTTCGTCATGGGCATATAGTAAGCCTACATATTTCTATAAGTCAATAATGGATGTAACAAGTAAATAAAATTAGTCGAAACAAAAAATCTTTATCTTTCATATTTACTTTGAAAACAAAAAAATAAAGTGAGTAGTCATAAAATAATATAAAACAAAAGGTGGGTAGTTAAAAAATGTCTATCTTTTCAATTGTTTTTCTCTTCTATGTCTCATATTTTTTAATATCTTCCTTGGTTTGTTATTACTATCTTGAGTACCGATATTAAAACTGAGCGATGTTAACTGTGTGGGTGACATTGTTGAAATGGGACTGAAATTCTGCATTACTGGAGGCGTGAAACTTTGCATCGTCGGTGTGAAAGTTGAACACGACCCGAAATTAAAATTCACACTAGGCATAACTGGTTTAATTACATTGTTATCAATTTTTCCAAAGTTGCCAATAATACTGTCGAATTTAGTAACATTTCCGTCAACTTTGGGAATGCTTGTATCAAATTCAGCAACATTTCCACCAAATTTAGGAACATTAACGTCGAATTTGACGTTTCCGTCAAATTTGGCAACGTTTCCTGCGACTTTTGCAACATTGCCGTCGTCGAAATTTACATCCATTTGCTCTTCGTTTTGTGGTTTAATTTCTTTTGTGTCAACTTTTACAACATCAGCTACTACTTCTATGTTTGGTAAAGAAATATTTGGAATCAAATCATTTTTAACAACTTCAACTTTATTCTGTTCTTGTTTATCTTCTTTAGTTATTTGTTCAGTGTTTTCGTTTTCTTCTTTATTACTTGTGATAATATAGTTGTTATTTTTGACAGCATCTGATTTATTCTTATTACGCTTAGGTGTATATTCGCATTTCGTAAAATTGAAACTAAAATTATTCACATTATCTTGCATCCTTTTCTCACCACAACAGAAACATTTTTCTCTGTTATCATTATTAGTTAAACAGATTTCACATTGCCATTTCGATTTCTTTACAATTGGGAGTTCAATTTCATGGTCAATTTTTCTCTTTCTACTTAGCATGGGTTCTTCATCTTCAGTATTTACTTTTTCATTTAAGACTTCCTTAGATACAATTTTTCTCTTCCTAGTTATGATTTCTTTAGTTTCAAGATTGACCTTTGTAATTGGGAGGATTTCCTCAGGTTCGTCAACTAGGATATCTTTTTCATGTGCGATATTTTTCTTTGAAATTGTGAATTCCTCGGATTCAATTTTTCTCTTACGCGGCTTGTCTTTATCAGATTTATCATTTATCTGTGGTATTGGGATAGCTTTCTCAGGTTCAAGATTCTGTTCTTTTTGGATATTCTCATTATCATTATTTTCCTTTGCAATTCCGATGTCTTTCTCGGGTTCAACACTTATTTTTGGAATTGGGTCGGTTTCTTCAGAGTCTTGAAGATCGGGAATATCTGTTTCTACAGTTTTATCAGTTTGTTCCTTACAATAATTGCATTTTCCTACTTTACCAAATATCCAACACTGTTTGCAAGTCTTCATTTGTGTGTTTTCATTTTCTTCATTTATGGTCTCAGATGAGTTTGTAGATACATCAGTATCCGATGTTAATTCAATACATTTCTCGCACTGGGGCTTTTTTAATATCGAACAAGTTATACATAAAATGGGAACTGTAGATATCCCACTATCAGGGTCTATTTGTATGGAGTCTTCCTGTCTTATGTCAATGGATGGCATATCTATCTGTCCCTTGTCTTTTACTTCACAGGAATTGTCAGAAATCTTTATAGGATTAGCAAAAGAAAATGGGAATCCAGCTCCATCTTTACCAACATGTAGGGATGATTTATCAACAGATTTACTTTTCTCAAATGTTGAATTATCTGTCTCGTCTAAGTCAATAATTTCAGTGGTTATTTTTATAGGATTTGAGAAAGAAAATGTATTGTGAGTTATAGTAATCAACTTCATTGCTACATTAGCCCTTTTTGTTACTTTATTTATGACATCAAGTTTTTTATTAGCTCTCTTATTTGTTTTGGTAATTCTCCTGGTAATCGCTATTCGATTTGCTTGCTTGGGGACGAGGAATTCATCGAATTTGTGCGATTTCTAGAAAAGGATTAGAAAATCACTGCAACAATCTCCACAAGAGGCAAAGTTTACATGATTAAAATAATTACACTTCAGGACTTTCCTTTTATCATATGTATAAAATGTACCCACAAATATAAAATATGTGAAGAAATGCTTTATAATTAGCGCAATTCAATACATTAATCATAAATCAATAATAGAATTTGTAATTTTGTTGTGACACTTGAATTGTCATACAAAACTTCAATTTGAGGTTAAAACATCAATCATAAAAATAGTTGACATTGTATAGAAGTTGTCAATTTCTGACTAAGTGTGGTACAGAACCAAATAATGCAAAATCTATAATAAAATGTATTATCTAATTATTAATAATACTACTGAATAATAAAAGTAACAAAAATATCTTTGTTTTTTTAAATAATCCTAACATTAAGCAATATATTGTGTGTTATCTTAAAGTAAAAAGAACATAATTTACATACCTCTGGTATAGTTGATGTTAAGACTGTAGCCACAGTCAACTCTCCGGATAATTCTGGATATCCTCCATGTAAAGATAAAGTTTCATTTAATTGTGTCATACTATCTCCTTTGTCCAAACAAACACCGCACAGATTGTCCATTTTCTTCTCAACTAAATGTTCTAGAACACTCTTAAACTTGTGCTTTTCAATGTGTTGTAAATAATTATCTAATTCCTCAAAAGCAGTACCACATTCTTTGCATTCAAAATGTTGTTTATCTTCATTAGTTTTATTGTTTCCTTTAACATGAAACTGTTTAATATGTTTTTTGTAATGTGAAAGCTTCATAAAAGAGTTCCCGCAGTATTTACAGTTGTACCACATTGATTTCGGATGTATTTTCTCATGGTTAACCAGAGATTCAACGTTGGGAAACACTTGCCAACATTTAGGACATTCCAGTTCATTTATTTGAACTTCATTACCATTTATGAGTGATGAGCCAGAATTTACTATATTTATTATTGGATCTGCGTAGTTAATGACATTTTTATGTTCTATGTGTATTATATTGTGGTTGGGATTTAATTTTTGTCTTCCCCTCCTCTTCACTCGTTCGAGAGGGTCTAGTTTATCGAATTTCTCATTGATGTCAATGAAGCAGTTACGTATCGCCCGTTCGGCTCGTTCACACTGCTGTGTAAATAAGTAACAATTGATTGTTCTATCGAGGCATTTTCCGCAGATTTTATTTGGGAAATTAGGGTCATCCGATATCTGGAATGAAAATATGTTGATTTCATTTTTTGTGTGAAAATACTGTAAAAGCTAGCAACACAAAATATTACATAAGTCATAAAAGACATACTAATTGTGATTTGCTTACAAATAACAAGTTTATAACACACATAAAAATATTTTTCAGTATGAACAATTATAATTCCAAAACCTGCATATTTTTTTTTTATAACATAAGGTAGCAAACGAGCAAGCGGCCACCTGAATCTATCGAAATGGAAAGCCACCGCTGCTCATAATCATCCACAATTGCAGATGCATTGCCTACCCTTAATACTAAGGAGGAGATGCACATAAAGAGGTAATTTTCCCTTCCTACGCGTCTCCTCCACCATCAAAGCCACTTTTCCTTCCCATCCTTTCCTATTAAGAAAAGGGTGGAAAGGGAAAGGGGCTAAAATCAGGCTTCCAGCACCACACTCATGAGACGAAACGCGGAATTGCTTCCACTTCACGCCTGTTTTCTGCGTGGTTGTGGTATTACAGCCCATTCGTGCGAAGATGTTAAAGCTGGCTGTACCACTGTGATAATTGTACCATAATTAAATTTCAACTCTAAAAATCTAACATTTTACTGATTTCCCTGTAATTTATTGACACACATTCTCATTTTATCACATATCTAATAAGAATGACACAATATTTATAATTCATTCTAAACTAACATTAATTTAAGAGTCGAGAGTGAAACTTGTATTTTATATGCTTTTGGAATTTCACTTCTCATATCCACGGTGTTTTTTTTATGTAGGACAAGCAGGCAAATGAACAATGGATTACTAGATATCAATTGATTCAACGCCCATGAACACCTGCAATGCCAAGGGAACTGAAGATGCCCTGCCCTTAAGGGAGGAATGTGCTCTTTACCCTGATATACATGTACATGAACATGTATACTCTATGACACATGAAAAGAGGACAAATTGAATAACACCTCACTTGTTCAAGAATGGTTGTCATTTAGGTTATAGGCTATCATAATGGAGTCAACATACAAACCCACATCCATAAAAACAATACCCTCGCTGTCAGTAAAATCAAAATTATAATATTTCTAATCAAAATTATAGTATCACTAATATTAAATGTCTATGAATATGAAAACAACCTGAAATGGGTAGAAGCTCGCTAACATGTCCCGTATGGCGACTTGAAATATTGCTCCAGAATTGGCTACCTCTAAAATCTCGTCTAATTCTGATAAAGAGGTCGTCGTGGTTAAGCAAAACCGACAGACCCTTCTCTTCAATGATCCTTGCAACAAATACTTCACGGCTTCTTTTGTCGTCAAAGGTTCACATTTTATATCCTTAGGATTCGAAACTTTCCAACATTTCGAGCGAGAATATGTTTTTAGGCTAACGGTGTTTGTTAGTTTTGGCTCCATTTTTTTCGCTTTCAATTAAGATCATAAATTGAACCGTCACTGTTACTTGATGTTTATATAAATATAGTATATAACATTTAATGGTTACCTAATTCAAAAAAACCTCGGATAATCTCTAAATTGTGAAGAAATTAAAGGAAAATTTAACGAAAATGACACTGTCAAACTGCTACCAGCGCTTGTTCGACAGCCATCATGGCGCCCGCCAGCGTGACGCAACATCCACAGACTTCATAAAGCGTTTTGTTGGAAAATGCACTGACCTATTTTCTTATTTTATTACTTAAAAACAGAATTACTGTCCCATTTGATTATTTTTAAATTGCCGTTTTAATTTCATAAGTCTTACAATTTGCATTTATTGAACGAGAATGATTTTAACATTCGTTTTTATTATTCAAAAGCATGGATTATATTTTTACCTCCATGTTTAAAAGTTAGAATAAGCTATACTTTTTTAAACCAAAAACATGCCACCCCTCCATCCCTAAGTTTCCTGTTTAGGTACTTAATAATGTATTACAAGTTTTCGAAAATTATCGTTTAACTCAATTCAAAGAAAGGACCAAGGACACCACCAAGAACAAGACACCACATAAGAGAAACACCTGTACCATTCAATTTTTGCTGATCTTACTTTAAACGGAAAATCAGAAAATACATTTTCAATTTAATTGAAATATTAATTCAAGTCTTAAATTGAATACAATTTACTTTTATATCGTGCAATTTCAGTTTTTATATGTACACAACAACTGAAATGAAAAGTGGAACCTTGAAATGAAGCGGAACAATTGATTTTAAGAAATAACAAACGTCAACTTGTTTTGCCAACTGGACAAGTCCTGTCAAATGCAAAAAAATGTTATTTATTTATTGTTTACATCCTTTCAAACATAACATTTTCCTAGTGAATCTACTCATCTGAATTCCTGTTTTATGCTACAATAGTGTCCTTCATACAAAATGTCGTGGCTGAATTTAAATCAAAGTTTTAATAGTTTGAAGGGACAGATTACAAATTTTGCTTCGGAAGTGTTATCCGAGAATACGACAGACGATATTGATTCAGAAGAAACTGGAATAAGCTCTTCGTTCAAGGAACTTGAAGAGAAATGTAATACCCAGCAGTTAGAGGTCAGTGTATAAAAATTACATTTATGTAATTATGTATCTTTGACAGATGTTGTTTAGGTTATGTTTTTGTAATTGTACAGTCTATTTCTAATTAAACGATTTGCCATTGAGCTGACCGCTAAATGGACATTCATTAACAAGAAGCAAGATCTTTTAGAAATACAGTCGCAACAGAATAAGCGAGAATACAAGGAACTGCGACATTTTTCTTTTTCCAAAAGGTCTCTAAACTAAGTTTCTTGTTTATGGAGGTCATCCGTCGGAATGGACAATGATTCGCTTCTACAATTTTCTAAGTTATGGAGTTTTCATTTAACCAGGCTAGCCCTAATTTATAATTATTTTTAAATATACAAAGTTACTTTATCTTAACATACTTATGGCGAGCTGTAAACAACAAAGGGAACTGTGTTCCAATAGTTTAAACACTAAGGCTAAAGTCAAGCCAAGCCTTAATTCAGGGTGACAAGGCCTTAGTCCACCTAGATAACTCAGTGCGGGTTGACTTGTTATACATATCTTGGAATATCTCCGCAGATAAATATGGGCATGTGGGAAACAACACAACGTTTTCTTTCACTATAAAACACAAATATATGTTCATAAGAATGGATAATCAACATATGTTAGTACATGCTAGATGTAGAACAAAGTATCAGTAGAATGTTGTTTCTATTGTTACATAGATGGCGTTATTCTCAAATTAAAATAAAATATTTTTCAAGCTTTCATATAAAAGTTGTTTTTGAAAGGATTTTAGTGTGTGTAGTTTTAGTTTTCTTTGAAATATAAATTTAATGTAGAATTTTAAAGGTTATTAAAACATTAAAATACTGCAGCTATAGAGTATAAACCTTAAAAGGCAAACATAAATTACTATGTACTATATTTCTTAAAACAGAATAAAATTTATAACAATTGAACTGTACAGTTAAAACACAGATATATGAACACAAAACAGAAAACTGCACAGGTTGCTGACAGTTCAAATCATGAATTTCATATACAATATTAAACAAAGAAATTGTCTAAAAAAAATAAATTTGATTTCAACTTGAGTTAACAAAAGAAAACATTGTTTTGTAGGAAAAAAATATGTATATAGGGTCAGTGAATTTAATGTTAAAAATAACCTCAAAATCGTAGTATTAATATAAAACCGTTGAAGCTAAACTAGTTTGGTGCATGTTGGAGTTATCGAGATAGACTGTGCAAACACTGATATCATATCTACCCCACGGGCATTACTGGGAATAAAGGTGTGTGCACACTGCATACTTAGGGCCTACTCACACATCCACCTAAATACCATGTGGTAAGCTTACCTCCATTACAGAAATATTTTACTAGCTGTTGCTTGCGACTTCGCCCGAGTGAAATTAAAACATAATCTTACTAATATTATAAATGCGAAAGTTTGGATGGATGGATGGATGTTTGTTAGAGTTTGAAGCCTAAACGGATGCTCGGATCTTGATCAAATTTGACATATAAATAGAACATTGGCTACTTAATTTTGTTTTTTTTTTTAATTTGATGCGGATGCAGTCGTGGGCAAAACCTTTAAAAAATATTACTTATGTTACTCACAGATAACATAGCTTTTTAATGGTGAAAGAATTTTTGAAACTGTAGTTTTGAGTAATTTAAATACATACAAAAATACAAATCTTTCTTCTTTATAATATGGATTAATTTGAAGTTACTTAAGGCACTTACTTGCTAGAATGGCATAGATAGTTCTGTACCCATTTCTATTAAATGACTCGAAATTAGCGCGGTTTTCAAAATTCTCTTGAAATTATATGTCATACGTAGGAGCGTCTTTTTAACGCTCATTCCTGGCGCTTATTAACCAGACATAATTAAATGAATGCTTCAAAATAACTCTTGTTTAGTGGATCCAGTGCTTAGTATAACTATATTGCTTCCTGCTATTGGAACGCTTTTTTAACGCACTTTAATAAGCGTCTATGTGAAAGAGGCTTAAGATATCAATCATGAACTTTTATGGAAATTAATATTGCTTTTTATTACAGAAATTTTCGTATGAATGAAGCTAAAATTAAGATTTGTATAAAATTCGATATCTGAAACACTGATATAAAGAATATTACTATCTCAGTTTTTTCAAGCAGATTAAGTGAAACGGCAATGTTTTCTAACGGAATTTAATTGCATAAGTACTTACAGAATTAATCAAGATACTCACAAAATTTTTTTCAAAACAATTTTTTCACATTATTTTTTTTTAAAAAACAAATTTTTCACACTATCACTTTTTTATTTAACAATTGGAACCTTCTAAATATCATTTTATTATATTAGGAATTGTTTTTATAAATGTATCAGAATTAAAACAATGAATTGTTATGAAACTTATAATGGTGTCATTGCGTAATAAAAAAAATCGACTACCTTCATCCCAAATAGAAAACGGAAAGATTTGTCAATCGTTTAATCTGTTATTGTAATCTTTTGTTCCAGATACAATGTAAATTTTCTGCCACTATTATTTATGTTATGCCATTTTTTATTCCCTACCTGACGTTTTTTTTGTACATATTTATCGATTTTTTTCGTGTTAATAGTATGGAGTCTGATTTGACTTTTTAGGGATAACAGTTTTTGAACGGTTACAGTTATGCGAATGGTCTTTCTGATCGTGAAGTTGAGAAATTATTGTTTTGGCAGTAATTAATGAATGGATCATATTAATGAAAAAAAAGTTATAGACTAGAGTATATAGACTAGACATAGTGAACATTTTTTCACAGATAACTTCTTTGACAGGTACTATGTTAGTTGTCAAGTTTAGTTCCACCTCGTGTCTTTGTCGACGTGTATTTCTTTTGTAATAAAATAAACTAAACAGTATCACGAAATAAAACAAACGTTTAAACTTTATTTAGTGACATCTATTGGCAATTAGTTTCAAAACAATCTTACTACTTACTACAAATACGAAAATTTATATGGATGGATGTTTGTTAGAGTTAGTAGCCTAAACGGCTGAACGGATTTCGATGAAATATGGTATGGATGTAGAGGATAGACTGAAAGAACACATAGGCTACTCACTTTTTTTTAATTCCACGCTTACGGAATCGCGGGAGAAAGCTAGTAAATTACATTGACACGTGGTTTTGAGGATCAATGAATAGATAGCGTTAGTAAGAATTAAAATATAACCAAATAAGGTTTATTTAATTAAAAATTAAATGTGTTCGCTTTTTAGATTGCCGGTTGTTGTAATGATTGTGCCTTTGTAAACTCTGCCTACCCCCTTATACTTACCCCCTTATACTTATACTTGGGCGTGAATATGTGTTGTTTTTTAAAAAAATATAAGCAATGACGCATTGGCAAGGAATAATCGTCGGGGAACGATTGAATTTCAAATGAACGTAGCGATTTGAATACGCACACCAATAGGTCACACCGGGAATGTATTCATATTAGTCGGTTAGGGTAGCTATGGTTTTTGGAAATTGTTTCCGGATTCGATTTGTAATATAACTTAAAAAATAAATACCTCGTACTCAGGGGTGAAGATTTTAACCGCGATCGATCCTCGAAGACCTAATAATAGTAGACATATTTTTTTGCTCTTACACTATTGTTTAAATACATATAATTAATAATTTAATCAAATTCAGAATCATTTATTAAATTCAGTATTGATGACAATGTTACTCTAGTTTTTTTTTTCTTAAAACAGATATTCAGATTAAGAGTTGGCATATAGTTTTTATTAAAATCATGTCTTGGAGATTAAAATTTTAATTACTTTTCAAAAATGTCTTCGAAAACTTTGTAATGTGGTACATCTAGTTTGCCGTTCGTAACATAGCGGCGGCCATGTTTGACTTGTGACTTGAAATTTATCATTTTCGTTGCATCGACTTCCGGAGTTAATATGTTACATTTACATGGGACTGTATGTATCGTATGACTTTGCTTCCTATTTAAGTAACAAAACAGACCGCAGTAACGCACTACTAAAAGCCAAAAGAAAAGGCAATTTCCAACTAAAGCTATCTACAAACTAACATACTATAATTTGCGGTTTGCCCAAACTAAAAATACAAGAAATCAAGACATTCACCTTTTGAAAAGTTTAAAATTAAAAAAAAATAATGCCATGCCAGACTCTTTGCAAAACTTTATATTTGTGTGTGTTTTTTTGTATGAAAAGGGGCAAACACAGGTATATCGACGCCCATATACCTAATTTTAGTCCCTTCACTTGGGATGGGATCCTTACTCGTCCATACATATCTATCAGCCGTCATATCTGAATCCACTCCCTTCTTAAGCATATCTTTCACACAATCCATCCATTTCTTCGGATTTCTACCTTTGTAGCCATCCACATTCAATCTTAACACTTTCTGGTTTATGTCTCCATCCTCTCGTCGCATAACCTGTGCGTTTACCCCCTTATGTTATGAAAACAAAGACATCAGCAATATTAGAAGAATTACAGATGCGTTGCGGCCTTTGAGAAGGTTGCTTAAAATTAATATTGAATTTATCTGTTTCGCAGATAGCAGCTCTAAAGAAGTTAAACGATGAGTTACAAGCTACGCTACAGTCTGAGGTAAGCTATATGTCGCTTGTCTAGAGGAAAACTTACTAAAGTTTGCAGTATTTAAGAAAAAGTACATCTATATCTATACTTTTATACTAATATTATAAAGAGGAAAGATTTGTATTTTTTGTATGTATTGAAATAACTCAAAAACTACTAGGCTGATTTTAAAAAAATCTTCCATCTAGTAAGATACTTTGTCTGTGAGCATTTATCTAGATGGATGGATGTTTGTTAGAGTTTGTAGCCTAAACGGCTGAAAGGATTTCGATCAAATTTAGTATAGATGTAGAGGATAGTCTGGAAGAACACATAGGGTACTATTTTTTTTTTCAATTCCACGCAGATTAAGTCGCGTGCGAAAGATGGTAGGCTATTTTGTTTTAATTTCACGTGGAAGAAGTCACAAGTAACAATAAGTTTCAACAATAATTTACGATGGGACTAAAATTTTCGGACTGTATCAAGCAAGCTAGATCAAGCTGTTGGAACAGACATGTAAATGCTTTAACTACTTGCACGCCAGTTTTACTGCCATGTGTATTCCCATATAGTTTTGATGGATATCCAAAAATTTATTAGTTTCTTTTGTCGCTTATTTTCTCTGTATGCTCGATATATTAAAACATGTAGATATATTTGTGATATGCATGACTTAAGGAGAGAAATACACATACCAGTAAAATGGTATAGTACTGGCATAACCAATAAAATGTCAACGAGATCGTATGAGAAGAGTTGAGTATCAAAATTCGAATCCCCCTTCGATCCTTCTCTCGACTTAATTTCACTTACGTATCATACAAGCTTGCATGGCAGCTATATGTGTATGACCCTGACCTCCGTGATTCGATTCCGGGAAGACGGTAATA